TATCGCTTCCCCCCATTAGAATATAAGTGCACGGAAGTGGGGATTTCACCTATCACATCCCAGTGGGATACACAACACCAGGCACATAGATGTCGTCTGTCGGTATTTGCAGAATGCCGGAGGGGATGGGTCTGGAAGACGTGCCCTGACTCGGCCAGGTTCTTGCTACACCCTACATTCATTCAACTGGAAGGAGAGTGGGCAAGGCGGGTAAGGCTTCAGCCCTGAGCTTGGCTGGGTGGTGACTGGGGCTCAGAAGGCATCATGGGAATACCAGGACTGAGAGAGGAGGTCCTGTGGCCTCCAGGATCGATTGTGCTAAGAACTGAGGCTGGCCATGGCCCCGGGCTTGGAGGCCAGGAGGCTAAAGGTGACAGGCAGCCACCTGAGTAACCCGGGCGCAGCATTCAGGCAGACACCGCACAGGCCATGAGCACTGACATCAGCTAGGACACGCTCATGACGATGAAGTTCTGTCCCAAAATTTGATCGGGACCTGCTGTAAACACAGAGAGCTTTATCAAGCGTGATTTCTGAGTGGATAACCAACCCCCTCCCCCATAAACAGGTGCAGGCGACGTTCCCTGGATAGATAAGGGAAGAAAGAGATCAACACTGGGCTCTCGGGGGATTCAGACTGGGGTGGAAGGAGACAGGCATTATGGGAGAGCGAGGGTTAATGGGGAAATATGGCGCAGGAGTGACTAGACAGCTAGTGGATGGGGGAACTGGGCATAGCACACTGGGGACCTGGACAATAATGGTCCACAGAGCTTCCAGACTGGAGTGTGCAAGAAGTGTGTGTGGTGCCTGGAAGTGCAAAATGCATCAAGGACAAGGCTCAGTGTAACCTATTATGGGCCTGGCACTGTTCTGGGCACTTGGGATACATTAGTAAAGAAAATAGGCAAAACCCCTGCCCCAGTGAACTGGGCTCCTAGACAATAACCACACAACGCATGATCATGCAGGAGGTTAGAAAGGCACAGTGCTAGGGATAAAGAAGGGTCAGGTAAGTCATAAGAAATTCAGGATGGCCATCGAGTGAGCATTGGGGGAGTCCAAGCCATTAGTGCAGACAGATGGCGTTAACTCCACGAAGCTGAGGCATGTGCTCACCAGTGACTTACAAGGACTCACAAGCAAGTAGTGAGGACGGAGCCGGTCACTTGAACTTGGGGAGAACAGAGTCATAGGCAGCTGCTAGACAAATAAGAACCCTGCATTTCCACCGGCTTCAGCCTGGAGGTCGCTGCTGACTGGCGAGACAGCTTCTGTGAGAGTTGCAGGCAGAAGCTCTGTGGGGATGTTGTCAGAAGACACCAGGAAGGGAAAACTAGAGACAGCAGTGTGAAGTTCTCTCTCAAGTCACTTTGCTGTAAAAGAAAGGAGAAAAATAGGGCAATAGAGAGAAAAGGGGATTGAGAAAGATTCCCAAGGCTGTATGCTCTTGGGAATGATCCAGTAAAAACTGGAAAACTGAGGATACAGGAGAGATGCCAAATGACATCCTTGAGTGAATGAGAAGGGTTGGGACCTAGGGCACTAGCTTCATGGGGACCATGGGCAGCTCATCTGGTGGGACCCAAGGGAGGGCTGAGCAGGGGGTTCAGATGCAAGTGTGCATGTGCTATGTGGTGGGATCTGATGGAGGGAGGGTCTTTTTGGAGCAGCTTTCTTTTTGACTTAGGAATTTCTCATCTGAGACTGGCGATTGGGGACAAGATGTTGGAGATTTGCAGAGAAAGGAAGAAGTGAGTTGGTCTTGGAGAGTGGGAGATGAGGGGCGGCTGCCAGGAAGCACTGAGAACTCATTAGTGGTTTGTGGTCATGAATTTGAAGTGAGACCACTCAGCACAGTTCTGTGGTTCATCCCCAGCCACATTTCTCACATGGCTGCAGGCAGGAGGAAGGTAAGAAGTCAAGTCAGGCTTAACTCAGGGTGTGGTTTTTCCATGCAAGAGCAAAAAACAGAGAGAGTGAGCAAGGAGATTGGGTGGGGGGGGGGGGATATGAGGAAGTGGTAATAATTGTCCATGAAGCTCAAGCCACACAAGAAGGAAAATGGAGCCCCAAAGGATCCGGGGTGGTGAAAATGTTTTGAAGTTTCAACCTCAGCTGTGGAGTCGGTAAATTGGAATGGTTGGAGGTAGAACATGTGAAATTGAGATTTAGTGTGGGATGGAGAGTGTGCCAGTCAGTACTAGCAAGGTCAAGGCCATGACCATGGCCATGAGTGACAGAAGCACGGAGGAAGACAAGAAGACAAGGTGACTCTAAAGTTCACGGGACAGTTATTTACAATCAATATTAAAATCGCCAAGAATTATGGAAAGGAAAGTGTTGGAGAGAATGGTAGTGCACAAGGACCTTTTCAAAATCTTCTGTGAAAATATTAACTACAGAAACACACACACACACACACACACATATATACACACACACTTTTTTTTTTTTTTTTGGTCCAAATAGGCCTTGTGATAGCTTGTCAGAGAGCCTCAGATCTTGGGCTTCTTGAAGGCCATGCATGAGTCCTACATGGACCACACGTGATTTTGCTAGGATATGTTCTGTCAAATCTTTTCAAGTGAATATAACTTCACAGTGGAACCTCTGGGCTACCAGGAACCTGGCTCTTCACTATCTTTCTCACTTCCTCTCTGTCTAAAGACAAAATCAATTGACCAATTATAAAGTACATCCAGAAATAAACTTAACAATAACCTTTCTAAAGACATAAAAGAAAATCCAAATATAGGGGAAGGATCTATGTTCCTAGATGAAAAAATTCCATGTTGTGAAGATGTCCCAAAATCAAAAGCCAAATTCAGTGTCCAGTTGGAATCTTGATGAGACAGTTTTGGAGCTTAACAAGGTGACTCTAAAGTTCACTTGGAAGAGTAAATATGTGGGCTGGGGCTGTAGCTCAGTGATTCAGCATTTGCCTAACACATGTGAGGCCCTGGGTTCGATCCTCAGCACCCCATAAAAATAAATAAACAAAATAAAGGTATCGTGTCCATCTACAACTGAAAAATAAAAATAAAAAAAGAGTAAATATATGATGAGAGTCGAGAAAATGTTGTGAAGGGGTCATGAGGAAGGCCTTGAATTACAGATGTCGAGTCATCTATTAAGTTACAGTAAATGAGAGAAGTGACATACTGGGGCAGAAAGGAGCCCACAGATTCACGATAGAAGTCTGTACACCCAGAAAAGAGCACTGGATGAAACTGATATTTCAAATTAGTGTGGTAACAATCTAGCAAATAACTGCTGGTTTTCATTTAGGGGGAAAGTTTAGTCCTTGCATCATACCATGTATAAAAATAAATTCTAGGAACAGCAAAACTGAAATGTTTTTAAAGTATATACTAGAAGACAATATAGGAGACACCTTAATAAAAACACAGGTGAAAGAGTCCTTTGCAAAAGCAAGACTCTGAAGCCAGGAGTGAGGAGCAGAAGTGACTACGACACAGCCAGAAGAGTATCTCTGCACAGTAAAAGATAGAGGTCTGAGAACTTTCGGGATAGGCAAAATGCATTTATTTATGTTTTGGGCTATTAAGGACAACATTGTCTAAAAAAGGATTTGGATATTGACAATAATGAATATAGAACAAAATAAAAGATGACATACACTTGCATATTTATGACTGGAGATGAAGGTGAAATATATATATATGTGTGTGTGTGTGTGTGTGTGTGTATAAATGAAGATAAAAATTAGTGAGCAAAATATCTCCCATAATACCCTAAATAAATAGCACCTTTCTCTTTGAGCTTCTTAGATGCCAGAAAAAAAAAATAGATAAGCAACATCTATAGTAGGCTTCGTACTGTCTGTAAGGAAATTATAATTAAGGCATTTAGAAGACATAGGTGTGTCCAATATTGACATGAGAAAAGTCTTGAGTAGATTCCCTTGTCTTTTGAAATAAAAGCAATATATAAATCTGATACAAGCTGAAAAGTTATTCATCAAATTTAAGGTAGCCACACAATATCCAACAAGTAAACTGGTAAACTGATAATCCCCAGATTATCAGTGGGGCTTCCACCGTTAGCATCCACCCAACCCCTTCAGGTTTTTGATGGGAAATCCAGCCATAGGAAGCATTTCTGTGTTTGTTTTTGTAGACAGTACTGAGATTTGAAGGTACACCGGTCAAAGCCACACCACTCAATGTCCTGGTCCCCCTCTCCCCCTCTCTCCTGGCCTCTTTTTTTCCTGCTTGTCACCTCTGCCCTCCTACCAGGCCCCCATGTTCAAATCTCTCACCATCAAGGGGCATTGCTGCCCCCAACTCTGGTCCTGGCACAAGTGGCATCCAAACCCTTGGAACCCAACACCCCACCCAGAGCTGTGGGGTTGCAGCAATTCCTCCTAAAAATCGAGTGTCTCAGAGGAATGTCCTCACTGACCCCCTCATGCACTGGGTTCAGGGAGCTGGTCGCCCCTGACTTCCCCCCATAATGCCCTGAACAGTTTTGAGAAACAAACAGCATCTTTCTCTTGGAGCTTCCTGGATGATGGAAGAAAAAGAGGGAAGCAACATCTCTCGGGGGCTCTGTAGTGTCTACAATTAAGGTATTTAAAAGATGGAGACATCTCTAATACCCACACAAGAAAGGTCTCAAGTCCACTTGAGCGTCCTGGCGCAGGAGTGTGGGGCCCCTCCTTCCAGTGGCTAAGGTGGCACCGAGTCTGCTTCCCAGAGGGCTCATCGGCCCGGGCATCTCCTTACAGCTCGCTCTCAGCTCCCGCACTGGTTTTTAAATAAGTTTCTTATTTTAACCATGAATCTGCACAGTGGAAGTAGGCGATCAAAGGAAGAGAGTCGGAAATCACGAAGTAAACAAGTGTCTATTTCCAAGAATGTTCTACAAATCGAGCATGACCTGAAGGCCCTTTGCCAGATTCCCCCACAGTCCCGCCTGTGGTTTTGATGCCATATCTGAAGATGGTGTTTCGTGTCCGTGTTCTTTGCTTTCAGCTTCCTGGATTCTGACAAGTGCCTGATTCTCTACGGCGATGACCAGGTAGGTGTGGGGGTGGAACTGAGTCAGGAACCAGAAGACCATCTGCTGTCCTTTGCAGAAGAAGTGAGGGGGAGGGAAGAGGCTGGGAGCATCTGTGTCTCCAAGCTGAGCTGGAATGAAGAGGAAGAGAGTCGAGGAAACGCGGCCTCGTGAGAACAAACACATTCAGGGGTCACACGTGAGTAAGGCTAGCTTGCGTACCTGGTGCTCTTACCACTGTCCTCTCACCTTGCTACACCCTAAGAGGTGGTCATTATCACTGCCATTTGTGAGAATGGGGAAGGTGAGCCACAGAAGAGTTATTTAATTTGCCCAAGGATCTGTGATTCCAAGAGGTGGCAGAAATAGGATTTGAACCCAAGCAGGATGACATGAGGAAACTAGACTTAATGATTATCAAGGGAACAAAAGGAACATTCCAGGTAAGTGAATGTATGCAGAAATGCACTTGGGAATGGAGGAGTTACCCTGAAAGCATGGAAGTCGGAGACAGGGGGCAGGGAAATGGCACAGCTGGCTTGCTCCCATTTGCAGGGAAGGTTCCTGCTATCCTGGGCCAGGAGCAAGGAATCCTTTCTCTGTGTTTTGCTTCCCAGTTAGAAATAAGGCTTACATGCAAATTACCCTAGGAAAGAAGACAATCTGTGTAAACAACTGAAGCTGAATGATTGGCTATTCTAGAATTTTCTGGAGAATAGGTTTGGACAGGGTAATGACAGGAGGATATCTGATTCTTGCATCAAGGAGGGAGAAGAGGAAGATAAGCAGAGAACAGAGGAATTGAACTTCACCTGGTCTTGCTTCCTAATGTCACACAGATGTTGCCTTTTTCTCCGTTCTCCTTAAAGCCTTTCAATGCAGATGTTATTAATTATGAGGAGCCTCAGGAGAGAGCAAGTGCCAGGCATTTGCCTCTACAGAGACACACAGCCCAAGGACCCATGGGGTGGGAGCAGGAGAGGATCTTCGCACGGCCCAGCTCTAGGGGGCGCCATTCACACAGGCTATACAATATGAATGGTGCCCTGGATTTGTGCCTGGGGTTGCCAGCCACTGTAAGCAGGGCTCCCTGGCTGGGCCTCTCCCTGGCTGCTCTCCTGGTTCTTCTCCTGCAAAAGCCCGAGAGGGAAGCCAAGGGCAGGTCCCAACGACACGACACTGCCTGTTCATTAGGATGCAGGTTCATTGGTAGAAATGCAAATGACTCATTTCACTTTATCCTTCCGACAGACCGTGCGGTAGTAATAACTGACTGCTCCCTACACCTGTCATCGCTGCCGCACTGCTCACTTTGTGTAAAGGGCCTGCCACCCTTCAGGTGTATATATAGTAACCGTCATTAGAGGCCGCAGGCTGGAGACCCGATCATCTACTGCCCCCTAGTGGACACCATGCGAATGAACCCGTACACGTAGCGTGTTCCTGCTCTGATTTAGTTTCTACGCAAATGAGGGTTGCATTTATCTCAGGAATAGTTTGCAGCTTCTGCTGCTTTCATCTCTTGCTAGTATCTGTGGTTCTTAATTAACATGCCTAAAATGGAATAAAATGTCAATCAGGGGTGACTCTTTGTAGAGCTATATTTGAATGTTAAAAAGTCATGACATTTTCAAGCAGTATTTAAGGCTTCATTTGATGCTCATTTTAAAAATCAAATTTCTTTAGGCTGGGAAAAGGCTTAAAGTGAGCATAGGATTGAAGAGATCAGGTTGCCATTTAGCATAGCTGCAGGTTGTGTGTGAGAGAAACAGGTTTATTTATGAGACAGAAGCTCTGGATTCTTCCTGCCTTGTCACCTAATCTGTCATCCAATCATCCTTTGGCAGCTTGCAAGGTTTTCATGATTTGCATACTTCTTGGTTGTCATGTGTCCCTGGAATCCGGGGCCCAATCATACTCAGAAGAAGGAGAGCCACATTTGCAATGTGCTGACAAAGGCTAGAGGAACTTCCATCAATGGCTACTACAAAGGCTGCCATTGTAGTAGTCACTCAAAGATGAGTGACTGTCCTTGCAGCTTCTCTAGGTTTGCACTCAGCCCAGGATCAGGTACTTAAAAGATACTTCAAAAATATTCACCAGTGTTACAGTTGGCATAATAGGAAAGGCATTTCTTAAGAAGGTTAAGGCATAACTTCTATACCTGTTTGGAGCTGTTTCCTCATTGTCAGGACTTGAATAGATTTGAAACTACCCCAGAGTTCAATTACTGTTGTTCTAACCATATGGCATGTCTATGGACTAGAACAAGTCCCTTTCCATAGACTGGACTCTTGCCCTCAAGATCTCCATCAATAAGTCTGGACCAGCCGTGTCCTAAAGCATTCCTCACATATATGGACCAGCACTTCATCTCCATTGTAGAATGTTGCTAGTTTTGTACCACCCTTAGAAGAATTGAAAAAATACTGTCTCAAGTAATGTTCCGTGCACCATGGTTCAGATGAGGAAACTAGGCTCAGAGCAGTCATGAAAAAAAGTGATATCTGGTGAGATAGCCCAGGGAATGATGCTACAGCCCCCTGATAACCCAGCAGACTCTGCCCTGATGGTAGGAAAGTTCCAAGACAGAAAAATGTTGGTGAAAAAGCTTTGGTATATCAACGCAAAGCAGAACTCAAAATTTTCCATCCTGTGTAGATCAGAAACCACAATAAGTGAAGCGCTTTGGGGTTCTTTCTAAGCCAACTGTAGTTTTCCCCAGGGTGTCACAGGAAGTGCTGCTGGTGATTCATGGGGTTAAACTTTTCCTCTTGAGTTAAAAATAAATGGAAGCTGCTGCTTAGTGTGGAGGGGGAAGGGCCACTGCTGGCCATCTAGCATGGGGTGAGTTCTAGCATGGGGTGAGTTCTAGCATAGGGTGAGTTCTAGCATAGGGTGGGACAGGACTGCTTACCTGATCAGACTGGAAGGGCTACTGAAGAACATGGCCAAATTCCTGCCCATGGAAACTTTTTATTATGATAATAAAAATAAAATAAGCGTGGGATATAAATAACTCATCAGAGTGAAACCAGTGGATAGAGTTGTCTTTTCTATATATCCACATTATAGCCCAGGGCAGTTTTCAGGCTAACTATTTTATTAGTTGGGTCAAATGGCCCTCAAGTGGCTCCATTTGACCTAACTCACTTCAGTTAGGCAATATGTGTCATAGACCTTGAGGCTGCACAATCCAACGGTTATCTCATCTACCCTGTGGTGTCTACAGCCAGTATCATTTCTAGCAAAGTCCTCAAACTGAATTAAGTTCCAGGAATGGGGAGAAGGCAAGACAGAGAGGAGGCATGGCTGAAAGCTAAGCACATTCTTTCATGGGTCTTGGGAATTTTAAAATGACGTAGACAAATCAAGCCAAAATACAGGTATGCAAAACGATTAAGAAGGGCCCATGAAAAACAGCAACATAGAAGATGCCAGTATTTTCTGCTGTCTGGTCTTAAACTCCTGCTTCATCCTAAGGTCTCCTGCCTGCCCCAGTGACCTGATCGGTGTGTCAAGTGGCACAGGGGGCAGTCATGCACAGAGAGAGCCCCTCTTCCAAGCTGGCCGTCATTCAGCCAGGAGGTAGCTTGCGCTATGCCACCATACCCGCCCCAGCTGATCTCTGGCCAAGCTGCCTCATTGGCGATACGGATCATGTTTTATGCAAGGGTTTCAAAGCTGCTGCTGCTGTTGCTGCCGTGGTGGCTCTAACCTGGCCTTTCGTGTCTCAGTCTAGACAGATGCATGATTGAATAAAGGATTCATCCAAGCCCCGTGTCACATTGGCCATCTGGAAAGTAGCCAACCACTCATTTAGCAAATTGCTCTGTTTAAATGCAGCTGCTGTGCCTCAGCGTTTACGCTACCAAGACAGATCGCACGATTCCTCTGCCTTCATTTATCTAAGCCGCTCCTCTCAATCTGCCTAGGAACTTAAAAAGCCTGTTAATGCATGACAAGGCACTTGACCCGCATGATTTCCAAGCCAAGGGGGAGCATCCGTCTTGTGCTGGGCCGTCCTTTCCTCAAAAGCAAGGGCACGTTGCCTGTGCTCCCTGTCTTAATGAAGGCTGCCTTTATTAAGAATTCCATTAGCTCCGCAGCGCCCAGCCATCCAACACTGTAAATATTACCCTTTAGAAATGCACCCAGGGGCCTGGCGCAGGCGGCTGGCCCAGTAGCAAGTGCCCGCCCTGGCAGTCGGGAGGCAACCTCAGACCTCAGATCTCTGTGGAGGGAAGGGTGTCCTTTGATGGGTTGGTGCCTCTCTCCATTTGGAAAGATGGATTACACTCGTTAGCAGATAATGTCAACAAAGCCCCTGAGATGATGTGAATAAGAGTTGGAAACAAAATGACTTCAGAATAGTAATGAGCTCTGAGGTGTTTTACCTGCAGGTTTTTTTGTTTTGTTTTGTTTTGTTTCCTGGAGTGGGCAATGGGAGAAAGGAGACCACTAAGGCTAAGCAGGTTGCTATCTGGGATGTCCCTGGTCACTTTGGCATGGTGCTGATTGTCACCTGTTATTTACCAGGGCTAATAATCCTGGTGACCATTGCTTCCATAAATTGCTTAACTCATTTGGGGTCCTGGTATTATTAAGTCTGGCAGCTAGAAATCAAAATCAGTGAGTTCATCAAATAAATATCATGTGCTCACCTCTTAGCTAGGCTTCTTGGAAAAGAATAGTACAATAAATCATCTCTGCAATCAAATGCTTTGGGGTGGGGGAGAAAAACACAAAAACAAAGCAAGATAAAAACCATGGGAATATTTGTGGGTAGGACTGCATGCGAGCTTTAATCCCAATGCAATTTTGGGCAAGTTCACCTTCTGAACCTCAGTTTCCACATCTCAAAATCAGATACACATTTTAGGAGTGGCTGAGTCAGTCCTTACATATAGTAAGAGCTCAACAAATCCTACTAGTGATAGTTAAAAGATACACCATCTCAACTTTTAATATTAGAGGAATTCAGAGGACACAACATTTTGGACTAGAGCAAGTGAAGCAACCTTTATGCACCAGTTGGATCCTGAAGGAAAAATAAACCTTGGGTAGGGAAAGGGCATTGGATGAGTGGAATAATGTGAGCCAGACACAAAGATGGCGGGCAGGGAAGGAGGTGGGGCAGCTGGGCGGACCAGAGGAAAGAGCTCCAAATTTGG